GCAGAGAGAGAGAGAGAGGGAGAGGGAGGGAGGGAGGGAATCAGGGAATCCCAAGCAGGCTCCACACTGTCAGCGCAGAGCCCGACACAGGGCTCGAGCTCGTGAACCGTGAGATCATGACCTGAGCCAAAATCAAGAGTCGGACACTTAACTGACTGAGCCGCCCAAGGGCCCCATAGCTCAGAATCTTAAGAAGCCCTGACAAGGTACTTAGCCTAAAATTAGAAGGGAAGGCAGGTGTATCATTTCTCTGCTCAGCGCCTCTCGTCTTACTGAGAACCCTCCCTTCAGCCCTCGCTGTTGTCCTCAGGCCCCACGTCCTCTGTCTCAGTGCCAGAGCCCCACCCTCGGCCTGGGTGCTCTGCCCGCCAGTGCCTTCTCCCTCCTGATCAGGGGTCCTCTGCCTCCGAGTGTTTGCCCTTGCTGTTTCCTGCACCGGGGGCAGTCAGACCCCACTGGCTGCCTGGGTGGACATCTCCATTCTGTCCCTTGGGTTTTGTGCTCAGGTCTCCTTATCTGAGAGGCATTTTCTGACAGTTCTTTCCTTGCATTCCCACCCCACTCACTTCAAGGCGGTATCTCTGAGAGCAGAGTTCTGCCCAGTACGTTCACTGCTGAACGTCCTTTGCGTGGAACAGTGTGAGGAACAGCACAGAGAACAGCGTGTTAGCCCCATTAGCCCCACGTCACTCATGCCATGATTTGTAAAGGGAGGGGGGACAGGGAGCCAAAGAGTAAGTTTAAACATAAGCCACATAGATTGGATGTGGCCCAAGGACGAGGTTACAAAGTCACAAAACGTAATTGAAACACTCAGAGACCCAACTGGTCCGAAAGGGTTAGGCAGAATGTGTAAACTTTTCCCAGGCTAGTGGTCGGGTTCACTGTGTTCTGTGAGGAAGGAGCAGGCAGGATACAGTTCCGTGTTAACCTGCTAATAAACACGCCCACTGTCCTGATGATGTTTCATAGCCAGTGACGAGTAAGATAACACTGGTATTAGTCTTAATTTTTCAGCCAGGCATTCTAGAGTAGCGAGTTTCTAACCGTGGTTAGGAGCTCCCGGGAATCCTTAGAACGCACTCACCTGCCCCTGAGATGGTTCTGATTTTTTCTGGGTGATGCATTTTAACTTCCTGGTGAGATTTCTGCAAAGAAAGCTTTCCGAGCCTCAAAATGATTTGAAGGATTCTCTTTAAGAGACAGCCTGGAAGAGCCTAGAATCATGAAGATACTTGACCGTCAGCTGCACAGAGTTGCATTTCTTGGTGTGTGCTTTGGATGTGTCAATTTAATAAATGCTCATGTTCCCCCCCCACCCCCACTCCCGCCACCCCCGTCTGGCACAGGCCTGGGCTGGGGTCCAGATGCCACTGGACCGAAGGGATCTGAATGGGGTGCAACAATTTAACAAAGTTGTAAGTTAGAAGAACCGTATGAAAAGATTACGTGGGCATTACGTGCCTATATTCTTGTTTAAAAAAAATTAAGGGAGCCTGGGTGGCTCAGCCGGTTAAGCATCCAACTCTTGATTTTGACTCAGGTTGAGCCCCGCATTGGGCTCCATGTTGACAGCATGGAGCCTGCTTGGGATTCTCTGTCTCCCCTCTCTCTCTGCCCCTCCACTGCTCTCTCGCTCTCTGTCTGTCTCAAAATAAGTAAATAAATGTTAAAAAAATTAAAGCATGTGGAAAGCCCTGGAGGAAAAAGCAAACAGTGTCGTTCATGGCCTCTACCCCACACCTGACCCGCTTCCCCCGGGGATCACGTGAACGCCGTAGTGATCTTTGCGGACCGTGGTCAGCACCCTTTCCTACAGATGTACAGCTGCAAACTTGTTGGAAGGGGGAGCTTTTACAAAGAAGGGATCCTACTGTATTTGCAATTCCACACCTTTACCCGCGCACTTTGGGTGTGCCTCAGGGCCTTTTCTTACCAGTGCATAGGGGCCACAGAACAAACACGCCTGCATACGGGGCCTCCTAGTGAGTTAGTAGAGGTCTCAGGCCCCACCTGAGGGGCCGGCCGGTAGCCTCCACCCCACTCCAGACCCCTGATGGCACGGGACGGGGTATTGTGGTCTGAAAACCTGTGGTATCAGGTCCTGACCACCTGATTGGAGATTTGTTTTCTAAATCTTTTACTGTAAAATACACACTAGATTTACCGTTTTATCATTTTAAAGTGTCCAGTTCGGTGGTGGTAAGCACTTTCACACTGTTGTGCAGCCGTCCCCACCATCCATCCCCAGGTCTCTTCATCCTGCAAAACTAAGACTCCACGCCCGTGAAACAAAAATTCCCCATCGCCCAGCCCCCGGCAGGCACACTCTACTTGCTGTCTCTATGACTTTGCCCTAGGGACCTCTTGTAAGTGGAGGCCTACAGTATCTGTCCTTTTGCGACTGGCTTTGCTTCCCTTAGCGAAAGGTCCCGAAGCTCCACCCACGTGGCGGCCTGTGTCGGAACTTCCTGTTTAAGGCTGGGCAACGTTCCGTCCTGTGTACGCACCGCATTTCGTTCGTCCGCGTCTCACGTATCCATTGATGGGCCCTTGGGTTTGTTGCCATCTTTTGGTAATTGTGAGTAATGATGCTATGGACGGGGCGCATGGTCTCTTCGAGACCCTGCTTTCGGTTCCCAGCAGGTGGCTTGCTATTCATGTGCTAATTCTGTGCCAGGGTTTCTGAGGACCTGCCATACTGCTTTCCACAGTGGCTGCACCATTTCACATTCCTACCAACGGTGCACAAGCTTCCAACGTCTCCGCATCCTCACCAACTCTGTTTTCTGTTTGTTTGTTTTTGATGTTCATTTATTTTTGAGAGAGCGAGAGACTGAGCAGGAGTGGAGGAGGAGTAGAGACAGAGAGCGAGAGACAGAGTCCGAAGCGGGCTCCAGGCTCCGAGCTGTCAGCACAGAGCCCGACACGGGGCTCGAAGTCACAGACCGCGAGATCATGACCTGAGCCAAAATCAGACACTTAACCGGCTGAGCCACATGGGTCCCCCACTTTTTCTGTTTTTTGAGAGTAGCCCTCTTAATGGGTGTGAGGTGTTCTTTTTTTGCTTTTCACCCCTCCGTCTTTTCCAGGGCTTTACACAGAGCAGGTGCCCAGTAGCCCCTTGTTGACTGAGCAAGTATTTTCTTTGGTACCAACAGCTCTTGTAAAGCACGGTGTAGCAAAACCAGTGTGGGAAACCAGTTTGGGAAACACTGGGTGTCCACAGATAAACAGGCATCTTCACAGCAGACTCTGTCAGGGTGTCTTGGGATATGGCAACTCCTAAGCTTCTTGACTAGAAACATTTTCTTCCTTCTTCCACCTGCCCTGTAATTTTGAGAGCCTGTTTGCTGTCTGAGAGCAACAGCTGCTTTTGAAAACTAGTGGGTGCCTCCCGAAATCTTCTCTAATTATGAACTTTTCAAAAAACAATTTTTATTTTACATTTATTTATTTTTGAGAGACAGAGAGAGACAGAGCACAAGTGGGGGAGGGGCAGAGAGAGAAGGAGACACAGAATCAGAATCCGGTTCCAAGCTCTGAGCTGTCAGCACAGGGCCCGACGCGGGGCTCGAACTCACAGACCGCGAGATCACCACCTGAGCCGAAGTCGGACGCTCAACCGACTGAGCCACCCAGGTGCCCCACGAACTTTGTTTTTAACTCCAAAACGTTACCTCTGTTGAACAGGACCTTCTTCAGATCCGATCCTATGTTTACGCAGAAGAACCCAATATCGACATTCACAACTTTGTGGGAACTTTTACCAGAGTAAGTAAGCCTCACTCACCACGGAATCCTGCCTTTATAGAGTTGTGCTGGTAACAGACCTGCAAAGAGGTGTTGACGGGTCTTTGTTAGGGAGCAGCTTTGCTCGGGGTGGGGGTGAAATTCCCTTAAGAAGCACCCCCCTCTCCCACCCTGGCCTTGAAAGCTGACATAGTGTTTCTCAATGAGATTGGCCCAGCTGGATTTTCTTCCAGCCTCTGACCAGCTAGAATTACCTGACAACTTAGAGCCGAGCATTGTTACGATTAATGTTAAGGCTCTGAAAGCACTCTTTCTGTCCCCCTCAGATGCATCCGTGACCCCTTCCACTCGCACAAGCCCCGTCTGCCTACGTTACAAGTTTTAAGCCACGTCCCAACTTTTCAGAATAGAAATTAAATTTGGGCTGAAATGCTGTGAAGAATCTGGGACAGGAGATTTGTAGACTCCAAATTAAATCCATGGTCTCCTTCTGGAAGCTGTAGGGCTGGCCAGCAGAGGGCTGTTTCTGTTCGATTGGCTTCTGCATTCTATTTCTAGCCTTGTACGACATTTCTTCAGCGTTAGGAGCCTGTCCGGCTTCAGTCACAAACCACCCTTTTCACCTATCACTGTGGGATGAAAACGCCCAGGAGGGTGGCTTGTGAGCTCGGCCCTTCTCTCCTGGCTGAGCTGCAGGCATCCGAATAGGGGTCCTCCTCACTTCCTGTCTTGGGAGGAGCCAGCTGGAAACAGCCTGTGGATTCTGCCCAAACCTTGGTAGATAAATGCGTGTCCGTTGGCCTTTTCCAGGAGGACAGCGACCCTCCGATCAGCGAGAGCTTGAGCATAGAGAACACTCTCTGGGCCGGCACTGTCATCGCGTCGGGTAAGGGTGCCCTTGTTGAGGAATGTGTTAGCAATTTGAAAAGGAAAGAAAATCCTTTTGTATAATTAGAATAATCATCTGTCAGTTGGGAAAATTAGTCGTGGTCAGATGGTGTTTTCCACTTGCTCGCGCCCCTCCAGGGAATCAAACTGACGTCTAATTGGCCCTCGGACACTTGCGGACGTCTGTGAGAATCTGCTGTGCCAGTGGACTTCTCTGCAGCGTCCGCTCTGGGAATGGCCCTTAATTGCCTCCCGAGATTGACATTCTAATCTGTACCAGAAACTGGGGCAACCTGGGCGTTCTGGCCGGAAGTTGTGTCCGTGGGGGCTGCGGGGCTGGCCCCGCCCGTCCAGGGGCCGTGGTGCCCAGGCAAAGGCCATGGGCCTGAGTTGGAGCCTTGGTGTTGAAAACACCAAGATGCCGTGGAAATTGGTGCCTTTTAGTTTTGTGAACACTGGGATGAAACTGGGCAGAAGGGGCTCCAGGGGCTGAGGTGTCTGCGGTGGCCGCAGTTGACCTTAGTGGGGTGCCTCTGATCTGTCGGGCACTTTGTTGAGCCCTTTATGTGCATTACACACTTCACTTAACCCTCCCAACGTTACCGTGAGGGAAGGTGCCGGTATCATTCCCATTCTGCAGATGAGGAAACCACGGCTCAGTGAGGTTAGTAATTTGCCCAAGGTCACACCGCAGGTAAAAGGCAAAGCGGAGGCTTGAACCCAGGCACTTTGCTCCAGAAGCAGAACTTACGGTGCAGCTGTCCTTACTGTATTACGTATGTTACGTAATAGTATCCACTGTTATTAATGTATGATTGTACTGCTGGCAACTTTCTGTCTTTGCTGTTTGCTGGAGTCTGGCTTTTTCCCTCTTCACGCACATGTCCCTCCCGCCAGCCTGTTTTCTTCCCTTTGATGCTGCCTGTGGCTCTTCAGTACAGCAGATGCTTGGTCAGGGTCCTCTGCGGCAAGGCCTGTGGATGACGAGCACAGACCAGCACAGGGTACACACGGGGCTGCTAGTTCACCCTCCGCAGGGGCTCCGCTTAACGCAAACGGGCAGAGTTGAGCGCTCCCTTGAGGTCCTCCGACCTTTTCCTTTTCCGCTGCCTGCCCGTATTGACGGCGTGATCCGGGATGTCTCAAATCCTCCTGATGACTAACCAAGTGAGGAATGGGTCCCTGAGTTTCAGCGTGGCCACTGGGCACTGCCGGCCATACCTTGGCCAGGCCCGAAGCCACGCCCACACCCGAGGCCACGCCTGCATCCCCGCCCACACCCATGGCCACGCCCACCAGGCCCTGCAGGAGCCCCTTCCCCTTCAGACTCTGCCCTCTGGCCTCTCCCCTCCCGCTTGTCCACGCATCTCTCAGAACTGGTTTACTCTTCCTTCCCAGTTCTCCACTTTGAAGTCACTTATTAACAAGTAATTATTTTCTATTTTAAAAGTTTAATTAATTAACTCTAGAGAGCGAGTGTGAGTGGGCGGGAGGGACAGAGGGGAGGGGGAGAGTGAGCCTTCAACAAGCTCCAGGCTCAGCCCAGAGCCCAACCCGGGGCTTGATCCCACGATCTGAACTGAAATCAAGAGTTGGTCACTCAATTGACTGAGCCACCCAGGCGCCCCTAAAGGATTTTTAAGGTTGTATTTTTTTTTTTTTTAAATTTTTTTTTTTCAACGTTTATTTATTTTTGGGACAGAGAGAGACAGAGCATGAGCGGGGGAGGGGCAGAGAGAGAGGGAGACACAGAATCGGAAACAGGCTCCAGGCTCTGAGCCATCAGCTCAGAGCCTGACGCGGGGCTCGAACTCCCGGACCGCGAGATTGTGACCTGGCTGAAGTCGGACGCTTAACCGACTGCGCCACCCAGGCGCCCCTTTAAGGTTGTATTTTAAGTCCAGTCTCCTCCCCAACGTGGGGCTCGAACTCACGACCCCAAGATCAAGAGTCGCGTGCTCTATACCAACTGAGCCAGCCAGGCGCCCCCAAAAGGCTTTGATCAAGCACCTCTATGTAATGCGGCCATGCTCTGTTGCTAGGCCCTGGTGCTGTGGTAGCATTCCAGAAGATTCTTGTCTCCACCCTTGTGGTGTTTCTAGTTTACTCTAAACTTCATACAGATTATGATTTTGAGGTGGAGGGTCTGAGGTGGAAAAGGCTTCTCAGCCTTAATCTCAGAGATGAACAGCAGTAAGTTTTACTTACCAGGCTCTTTATTTACAGAGTGTTTTGCTGTCATTCTCTTGTTTTGGTCTCACGGCATTAAATGAGGATTTAATGGAATAAAGAGGAATTGAGTCTCAGAGAGGCTAAGCAACTTGCCTAAGGTCACACAGCCTAGGAGGTCATCTCCCAGAAGGCAGAGAGTGGAAAGCAAGTTGGGACCTTGAAAAGGGGAGAAAAAAATTTCAGACCGTTTGTGAGTGGTGCTGTAGGAACAGAGAGAGCAGTGATTTCAACGATCCGGTAGCAGCACCTGCCAAGCCCTTCAGCGGGCGCAGGTTTTCGAGTGAGTCTGAGAAGCCGGACGTTTACTGTTTCTTTAGCTGGCCTCAGTTTCCCCTGCTTCTCAGTGAGTAGTTCTCTGACTACGTTGTGGTTCTAATGTGAGGTTACATACGAGCCACTTCCTTCCTGGTGCTCAACTCAAGAAACAGCCGTCCTTAATGACCTTGATTAGATGAGATTTTACTTTTCTGTTCTCTGTAGAGTCTAACTCCTGTGTTTTGGTCATTCTGCTCTTATCACTTGAAAGTTTAAAAAAAAATAAAAAAGAAAACTTGCCAGGCAGCATGTAGGGTCCAGTGACATTGGCCGGCATCAATCTGTAGAGGATGCAGTTGCCACGGTAACCCGCCACCGGGCCACTCGGCTGAGGAGTCACTGGGGTGAGACACGGAAGGGACGGCGGGGGGGAGGCCTGGGGCCTTGGCAGAGCAGGTGGCCCGGCTGTGTCATGGAGCCCGGTTCTTCCCAGACTCTCCAGTCCGTTGTGCCGCTGCCTCCCCCGACCCCAGCCTGGCGGGTTGATCGTGGCCACCGTGTGACCCACATGCAGTCACGCCACGTGCCCCTCGCCCCAAGGCTTGGCGGGACACGTCCTTTGGTCGCATGCTTGAATGTTGCAGCAGCATCTAACTGCTGTAGACGTTTCTGAAGGCTTGCGCTCAGGGGGGTAGCATTTGTCCTGTCACAGATGGGGAACAAAGGGGTCACAGAGCAGCGTTGACCCCAGGACCGCGCTGTCGTGGAGAGTTAGGAAGAACTCCATGTGAAAGCCGACCGCAGCGGTGTGACTTGGGGAAAGAAACCAGCTGGCCAAACGGGGGCGCGTCTGACTCCGCGGATGGATGGCAGAGGGTGACAGTGTGGAGGGTCAGGAGAGCTGACAGCACAGGAAGTGGGGGTCAGGCGTGGGGGGTGGAGGGGCTCTCTGGTCGGAAAGTCTTGAAGGGCTTGATTGGGCCCCGTGGGGACCAGGATGAGCCGAGGGCCTCCCCTGGCTGAAGCGAGTGCCTGTGCTTCACACCTGCTGGTAGTACAGTGGCAGACGCGGACCCAGTGTCACCACATCTTCTGATGTTCCGCGAGAAGCCAGAATTCTTAATTTCTTTTTTTTATGTTTTTTTATTTTATTTTATTTTTTAACGTTTATTTATTTTTGAGACAGAGACAGAGCATGAACGGGGGAGGGTCACAGAGAGAGGGAGACACAGAATCCGAAACAGGCTCCAGGCTCCGAGCTGTCAGCACAGAGCCCGACGCGGGGCTCCAACTCACGGACCGCGAGATCACGATCTGAGCCAAAGTCGGCCGCTTAACCGACTGAGCCACCCAGGCGCCCCTCTTTTTTTTTATGTTTTTATTTATGTTTCAGAGAGAGAGAGAGAGAGAGAGAGAGAACGAAAAGAACAAATGGGGGAGGGGCAGAGAGAGAGAGAGAGAGAGAACGAATGGGGGAGGGGCAGAGAGAGAGGAGACAGAATCCGAAGCAGGCTCCAGGCCCTGAGCTGTCAACACAGAGCCCGACACGGGGCTTGAACTCGTGAACTGCAAGAGCATGACCTGAGCTGAAGTCGGACGCTTAACCGACCGAGACACCCAGGCGCCCCTTAATTTTTTTTGCATGAAAACTCCTGTATTTCAAAGTTGGCAATGAATTCAGAACCTTTGTTTATTTAGGTTTATTTATTTGTTTTGAGAGAGATGGAGAGGGAGGGGCAGAGAGAGAATTCCAAGCAGGCTCTGTGCTATCTGCATAGGGCCCGAAGCAGGGCTCGAACTCCCGAACCGCAAGATCGCAACCTGAGCCGAAATCAAGAGTCGGACGCTTACCCGACTGAGCCCCCAGGCGCCTCGAATCCAAAACCTTTAAAGTGCTGTACAGACCAGCACAGGTCTGTGGTTTCTCTCTGGGTGACAGTGGCCGGCCTTTGGATCTTGTGGAGGTGGTTTTGGTCTTTAGCACAGGCGGAGGGTGGGTGGGGGGAGGCCATTTTCAGCGGCCTTGGGAGGCACTGAGGTCGGCTGGCGCCAGCGGGGGACCCGTTCAGAGGCCCTAGTTGTTAGGACCCTCTCGGACCCTGGACGTCGGTGACTGAGACCCACCGCCTCTGTGCAGGAGTGGGTGCAGTGGCTGCGTGGCCACCCCTAGTCTAACTGTCTCCGCGGCCGCAGGCCTGCGTCACTGGAGCCTGCCATCTGCCAGGGAGTCTCCAGGGAGCTCTCCCCGGCCTGCCATCTGCTGAGCCTTCCTGGAAGGGAACCGCATCGTGTGCATTAAGCTTGGAAGGGGGACTTCGGCATCTCCTCCCAGGGCTTTGTCCCGGGGACACAGTCCCTGTGCTTCACCTGGGCTCGGGCCCTTCCACCAACTCTGTTTGAGGCTCTCTGAGGCTTTGCATGTCCCTCTGAGGGAGGCGAGTTCGGATGTTCCGGCAGAGACTAGGTTGCTTGTGCTCCTGGGAATCTTCCCTGAAGGTTTGGCAGGGCTGGTCCCTTCTCAGGGTTCGAGCTTCCGCTCAGGTGTCCTCAACTCAGAGACTGCTTCGCTGACCACCCGGCACGGACCCGCAGCCTTCTCCGGCCTCCCTTCCTGTTCTTCTGCCTGGACTTCACCATGGCCCCTGCCGCTGTCCGTGACTACCTGTTTCTCGTTTGCTCTCTCGCTGCCTGTCTTCCCCACCGTGTTGAGAGTCGTCACGGCATACCCTGAAAAGGGCAGACAGTGGTACATTTTTAATCTTGCCAGTTTCACCCCAAAACACGTTGTCCCAACGTACGCTCCAGCCAACCGCATGTGCGGCAGAACCCATTTCTCCGCCTCTCGGCTGACCCTGGATGTTCCCAAGCTGTGGAATTTCTGTTGCTGTGATAGGGATTGAAATGGCTTAGTTTGCATTTCTTTGATGATTCACAAAGTTGAGCATCTTTTCTAATGTCAGCTAGCCTTTGATATTCCTCCTATAAATTGTTGACTTCCAGAAAGCGCGGTATGGGGGGGGGGTGAGAGGGAGCAGGGGAGTTCTCAGGAAAGAATTGTCTTGTGGACAGACATTCCCCCCCTCCCCCCCAGTAGTCTCGTTAAGACACAGCGTCTGAAAGGAATCGGACTCAGCGGGAAGAATATGCTCTAATAAGAAGAGTGTGTATTTGAACTTCTATCATTGTTTATGAAGATAGGAATGTTCTAGGCACCTCTGGAGACCTCTGAGGGCACAGGCACAAAGGACAGACCTCCACTCCCCCCAGGCTGCTGGGCCGCACAGACCAGCACTGAGCAGCGGACCTTATGGCAACGGTGCAAGTGCTCTGTATCTTTGCCGTGACTGTTGAGCACTTGAACCTGGCGAACGTGGAGTGAGAATGGGCAGCTGTATTTCACATACTACTTTCAATTGCATTTAAATCTAAACGGCTTCATGTGGCCACTAGCTACCATACTGGTCAGTGTGGGCATAGATCATCGTCTTTGTTAACGGCCCTTTGCATTATGCTTTCCTGATTTTAGGTACCGTTGTGGGTGTTGTTCTGTACACGGGCAGAGAACTCCGGAGTGTCATGAATACCTCAAATCCTCGAAGTAAGGTGTGTATGTGGTCCTAAGATGCATCTCCTTGTCAGAACTTTTTGACTTGATGTATCTTGATGATTGGTGTTGGCTGGGTGAGGGGCTAGATTTTGGCTTTTTATGTTTATTTATTTTTGAGAGAGAGAGAGAGAGCGAGCATGAGCACGGGAGGTGGAGAGAGAGGGGGACAGAGGATCCAAAGCGGACCCCATTGTGGCAGCAGAGAGCCTGATGCAGGGCTCAAACTCACGGTCTGTGAGACCGCGACCTGAGCTGAAGTCGGACGCTCAACTGACCGAGCCACCCAGGCGCGCCCCCGAGGAGCTAGATTTAAAGACAGTAGGGTCGCCTGGGTGGCTCGGTCAGTTGAGCGTCCGACCTCAGCTCAGGTCACGATCTCGTGGTTCGTGGGTTCGAGCCTCGCGTTGGGCTCTGTGCTGACCGCTCGGAGCCTGGAGCCCGCTTCCCATTCTGTGTCTCCCTCTCTCTCTGCTCCTCTCCTGCTCATGCTCTTTCTCTCTCAAAACTAAATAAACATTTAAAAAAATTAAAAATCAAGGTAGGAACACCTAACAGTGTTATTTCATTTATACAAACTTACCGCCTTTTCATATACGGGTGTGTGTGTGTGTGTGTGTGTGTGTGTGTTTATGTACCTACAGACGCGTTCATGTAACACATAAGCAGGTATGCGTATGTATGTATGTGAATTCATAAAAATGTTAAAGCTCGTAGGTTAAAAGTGTTGAGCACCTACCGTGTGCTGTGTGTTCTCCATTCTTCACCCACATCCCACTTGACCCTCACCCCAGCCTCTGAGCCCAGGCACTTCCACGGGCTCACCTGAGCCGAGCGGTGGCCTTGAGAAGCACCGCGTTCGGCCGAGCCGCACAGCGAGGAGGGGGCAGCCTCGGGTTCCCCCACCCCGCTGACGGCCGGCTGTGGCAAACGTGGTCCACGGTGCCCTCTGCCCGGTGGTGGCCCCGTTGTCGCTTCTTTCGCACCGTGACTTGCCCTCCCAGCCCGGCCCCTCCTCCAGTTTCGAGGAGCCAGAAAGTACAGAACGATTTCCTCTGTCGACACCGTGAACGAATGCCACTCACCGTCATGACTGTCCTTACAGCCGGAAGGCCGTTTGTTTGATGTTTCAGCCTTACCCTGGGCCACGTTTCTGTGAAGTTCTGGCTTTGCTGTGCCAGTTACGTTTTTGTTAACATACACATTAGCGTAAACACGCAGTTGGTAAGATCCTCGTGTTCAGCAATACAGCCCTTAAACGTCAGGTGCCCCCGGTGTGTGTGTCCTGAACTCAGGCAGCGCTGGATCAGCGTGTGGTGCGGATCTAAGAGGTGGGGGCGGATGGCAGAGGTCATGCCACACAGAGCGCCACCAAATGCAGCGGTAACCTGCTTATGTTTGCAAGTCCCCATCTTCTTTTTTTCTTTTTTAAGTTTATTTTTGAGAGAGAGAGAGTCTGTGCACGACTGGGGGAGGGGCAGAGAGAGAGAGGGAGAGAGAGAATCCCAAGCAGGCTCTGAGCTGTCAGCACAGAGCC